TCTTTGATTTTCTGATGTATCCACTTCTAGTCAAAAAATTTCTAATACAAAAACTATGATATAATCAAATTAAAAGTTCAAGAATAATATAAAAATACAATTACAGTTTAACAAAAAAAGAAAAAATGGCACATGGCAGTATACTATTCTCTGAAAGACAAAATAAAGCACAGCAAGGCAGCATATAGTGCTTGAACATTGAATCTGGAGTCTGAAAATACGTACAGAAATTTTACGTTAGACAAAGGAATCACCAAAATTAGGGGGAAAGCGGAGTTTTTAATAAACGAGGTTGAAACAACTAGATAATCATTTGGAAAAAGATGAAATTGGATCCATATAACTCTTCATGTACTAAGTCAAATTGCAAATATAGATGTCGAAAAATAAATCAGAAATATAAATGTCAAAAAAAATAAAAGAACAAAATAATATGAACAAAACATGGATGAATTCTTTCATAATTTGGTAATGAATAAAGCAAGCCTTTATAAATATAACTAAAAATTCAGAAGCAATAACAATAAAGACTGAGGAATTTGATGACGCTAATTTTTAAAAAAACTTTGCAAGTCAAAAAAAGAATTCATAAACAATATTCAAAAGACAAATGAACAGCTGGGGAAAATATTTTCAATTTATTTCATTTCAAAGAGATATCTCCCCAACACAAAAAGAGCTCCTAAAAATCAATTTTAAATAGAATAATATTCCAATAGAAAAATGAGCAAAAGTCATAGCTCAGCAGTTCACACAAAAAAGAAAGGCCCTTAAACATATGAAAAGATGCGTACTCTCACTCCTAATAAAAGAACATAATTAAAAACACATTGAAAAATCATTTCTCACCTAACAAATTGGCAAAAATTCAAGAGTTGACAACATTCTGTTGTAAATGTTGGGATAACCAGGCACTCTTATCCCTTGCTAATGGAGATACAATTTGGTACAATCCCATCGAGATGAATGTGACAATATACAACAAAATTACAGATACTTTTACTCTTCGATTCAACAATCCCACTTCTAAGAAAATAATGTAATGTTACATCTGACATTTTATACTAAATTTTATATGTATTTTCAGAGCCCAGAATCGAGACTCAAGCACTGTATGTGGTCTCTTTATTTGTGCCATTCAATGAATTGTATGCGCCATGTTCCATTTTTTTATTAAACTGTAATTTTACTTTTATATCATCCTGTAATACATGTGGACATCTAAAGTGACATATGCAACATTATTTGTAACAGTAAAAGATTATTAAATCATACAAACAAATAAAAACAATAGAACATTGGTTGAATGAAACTAAGGTATGCCTCCATAATGGAAACTATGGAACTTTCTCATGATGAAGTACTATAAAACCACATAAGAAAATATGAAAGAATTCCAGCATATAATGTTATGTTAAAAAATCGAGGCAATGGACAATGTATACGGTATATTACCTTTTATGTAGGCTACACACACACACACACATACACACAAGACAGATAAACTGGATCTAACATTTTTTAATGGTATCTAATGGAAACTATGAAAAAAGGGGTAACATTTTCCTGAATATTATTTGGTTTAAAGTTTTAAATCTAGAACTATGCTTTGTTTCAAAGTTTTAACTGTCAAGTCATATAAATGTTTTATTTACAGTTGCCCCTTGAACAGCGCAGGGGTCAGGGGTGCCAAATGCCCTTCTTTCCAAGTCAAAAGCCATCTATAATGTAAATCTTCCCTCCACATATGTGGATTCCCAAGGGCCAGTTGCCCCTTGAACATCAAGGGTTTGGACTGCAAGGGGTCAACTGAAAAAATTCCACGTATAAATGAGTCCATGCATTTTGCAACCATGGTGTTTGAGAGTCATTACAAGATACCAGAGATTCTTGGAGAAACAGCTGTTCTCCAGTTTAGAGAATTTACGAGATGAGCTAGGGTTCTCAAAATCTAAGTGAGTCAAGTCAAAAGACCTTGCAGCCACCTTTAAGGAGTTCCCATTGGCCAAAGATAGAACAATTCAAGCACCAAAAGTAAAAAATAAAATAAAATAATAATCATTGATTCGTATCTATTGACTATATAAAAATCCATGAATCCATAATAATACTCCCTACATGATTCAAAGGACAAGTCATGCTAGGTTCTTTCACTCCAACATGCTTTTGTGCTCTTTGTCTGAACAGTTAGCATATTTTGCTTCTTCCGACAGAACTCAACTTTCAAGATCCAGCTCAGATGCCACTTCCTCTATTACGCCTTCCCTAAAATCTCTATGTAGTTCATTGTTTTTTCACATTTCAACAGAGCTTATTGTACATGCCTCACACTGTACTGGAATTACTTGTTTAACTGCCTTTTTCTTTCTAGACTGTAAGTTTATAAATATAGGAACTGTCTGGAATTTATTTATTTTGTTATTTCCCGTGCTTAGCACATACTTATAGACAATTTCATGTTATCTAACATTATGTGTTATAAATAAATGGATCAACTGCAATAGTATCCACTGTTTCTTCTTCATTACAGATTTGTCTATATTTTAGAAAATTACTGAATATAGTTAAACAGCTGGCTATTTTAGCCAGCATGCCACATTTTTGTGACAATAGATTTTTAAAAAGATTTCACCCCCATCTATCAGCCATTGCTTTGGCCCTGAGTAGGCTAGAAGTATGCCCCACAATCTTTTCCTGATCCTTATTCTTTGACAATAGCTCCTGCAGTATTTTTTTTTTTTAATCCAAGTCTGTTTTCTCCCCCTGAAGATCTGTCTGCACATAAAAATATACTGACAATGTAGGGTGGGAAGTATCAACTGATGGCTTGACTTAGTTGTAATCTTTTTTTTTTTTTCTCTAAGTATTAGTTTGAAATAAATTTTCTTTGGAAGTAATTTGGTCCAACACCTGTAACACACCAGTGGTAGCAGATGTAGCTGTTTTTCAGTAGGTTTCTTGTACCAAACCTCTCTCACCAGGTGTGGGATCTTCCATGCACGTGTGCATATTTCCAGCCTTAGGTCTTTGGTGAGTTTTAAGCATTAACAATTCAGATGGTAGAGATGATGTAAATTATTTGTCAAAGGCATGTGAAAACGCACTAAAATGCTTTGGGAAAGCCCTCTGTCATACACAATGAATGGATTCTCATGTAGGCTAGAGGCAGGTGATCGCGGATAGGTGAGATCAGCGCAGCTGCTTAAACGCGGATCTGTGCTTGGGGGGATCTTCTGCGCTTCCTGGTAGAGAAAAACTCAGGTGCTGAGGCGCAAGTGGAATAAAGGTGAGAACAACGAAACCGCACCTCGTGAGATCTGTACTGCTTTGGTAGGCGGTCGCTGGCCGCGGTGCTGAAAACGCTCTCGGGCTTTCCCCTAGGTTGGCGGTTCGGAAGAGGCCCAGCGGGTTGGAGAGTTTGCCCGCAGCGACCAGTTTCGCGTCTTCGGTCGTCGACTACTGGTTCTGAGCAGGGGACGCACAGGTTGCATCCAGGGGAGTCCCCTCTCGAGAGGAGGGGCGGCCTCCGGCCCATTCTCACCGAGTGCAATTCCTTCCCCTCAACAGCAATCCCAATAACAGCAACGCGGCCTATATTTATTTACTGAGCTCCAACTGCGTCTCTGAAAATTGACATCTATTCCCAGTAGTCCTCACAACATCCTCGAAATTTAAAATAAGAAGACTGATTAACTTGCCCAAATGAACACAACTGTTCAATGGCTGATTTCCCTCAATCTGGCCTCAAAAAATGTTTACTGCGCACCCTCGACATGCCAATCTTAGAGCCTCTGCTTCCCCTCCTATGCCTGCTCCACCCTTATCCCACCATGCTCCTTTCTTCTTGCTCCTCCTCCTACCCGAGGCAAAAGTGATCTGCACAGCCTATCCCCTTGCACCACCGAGTTGGGGGACTGTACAAAGGGCTGGGATTCAAACAGAATTAGGCACACATCTTGCCCCTTCCGGTTCAAAAAACCAAAACGGTGGGAGATTCAAGTATGGTCCCACAGTCCCTAACTCTCTGTGTGACCTTGAACAAGTGGCCACACGTATTTCCTCCTAACACGATGACAGGTTCTACGACCGAGTGAGGCTCTTCCCAGGAGCGCATCGGTCTCCTCTCCAGTCGGAACACAAACATTAGGTCCCTCTTTTTTTTTTTTTTTTTTTTTGCTTTTTACCCCAGTTTTCCAAGCCCGGTTGGTCGCGCTCACTTATTTTCCTCGCTAGGTCCATAGCCAACTCTACCCTTTGTTGAGGAAGAATTCAGGTCCCGGCAATTGAAGGCGTTCTTCTCGCGGACCCCATCGTCCCCGCCTCCACCCGGTAACCTGCCTTTCTGGGCCACACTAGCCAGGCAGCGCCCAATTCTGGGGAGAGAGCTTATCGCGCTTCCGCTTGGTACTGCGGAGTCTCAGTGGTTCCCACAAGCCGGGACGCTTTGAGAAAGAAGTGCGAGATGCAGCTGGAACAAGAATGCGAAGACGAGGCAAGATCCGTGAGGCTGCTTCGGTGACAGGTACGTGTGTGGAGGCAGCTAGAGGCTAGGTTGGGAGAGAGAGACTTTGGGGGGAGATGAAGGATGGGGAGAAGGGGAGGTTCCAGAAAGAGCGGTGGGTCACTCTGTTTTTCTCACCACGTGTGTGTGTGTATGCGCGCGCGCGCGTGTGTGTGTCTCCCTGCCCCAGTCTCCGTCTCTCAGTGTCACCTTCTACCTCGGCTTCTGCTTCTCACTCCCCCCTCTTTCCTCTCCAAGCATCCTCCCTGCGCGCCCACGCCCGCTCTTTCCTCGCACTCTCTCGCGCCTAAGAGGACCTTCTCGGGAACCAGCCGGGTCCAGTCTTTCAGCGCAGTAGCATCCCAGAGCCAGTTAAGTAGAGCCGGCAGCATGTGGAACGCGACGCCGAGCGAAGAGCGGGGGCTCAACTTCACGCTGC